AGATTGTGCAGAAAGAATGTCCAATTCGAATGGAAAAAAGAATGCGAAGATGCATTTAAATATTTAAAAAAGGCATTAATGAAACCAACATTATTGCAATACCCTGACTTCAGCAAAGAATTTTGCATAACCACAGATGCAAGTAAACATGCATGTGGTGCTGTACTATCCCAAGAGTACAACGGTGTACAATTGCCAATTGCATACGCATCCCGAGCTTTCACACAGGGAGAAAGCAATAAATCAACTACAGAGCAGGAATTAGCTGCTATACATTGGGCAATAAAACACTTCAGACCATATGTTTATGGAAGGCATTTCTTAGTTAAAACAGACCATAGACCCTTAACATATTTGTTTTCGATGAAAAATCCCACATCAAAATTAACCAGAATGAGACTAGACTTAGAAGAATACCAATTCACGGTAGAATACCTCAAGGGGAAAGATAACCATGTAGCGGATGCATTATCCCGCATAAGCATAGAGACACTAATTGACATGAATTGGAAAATATTAATGGTTCAAACAAGATCATCAAAAAGACAGGAAAACATCTGCGCAGATGAGAAAATAAAATTGCAAAAAGATCAAAAAGATCTAAAAGAGCCCAATGTCTATGAAGTCGTTAGTAATAACGACGTAAAGAAATTTGTGAAACTAAAATTCGGTAAAATAAATTGTTTACTTAAAAGAGGAAAACGAATCATTTCACAATTTTCAGTTAATGATTTGTATTCCAATGAAAAATTCGATTTAGGTCAATTTTTTCAAAGGCTTAATTCAGAAGCCGGAATACATAAAATTGCTAACTTACAGTTGTCACCAAATGAACAAATTTTCGAATTTGTATCATTAAATGAATTTAAAAATATGGGCAATAAATATTTAAATACATTAAAAGTAGCGCTACTAACAAAAGTGACACAAATAGACAAAAATGACGAAAGTCAAATAAAAGCAATACTGTCGAAATATCATGATGATCCTATAGAGGGAGGCCATACAGGGATTACGCGTACCTTGTTAAAAATTAAGAAATACTATTACTGGCCCCAAATGACCAAGACTATTACAAAGTATGTGAAAACTTGTGCGAAATGCCAAAGATCAAAAGTGACAACACATACAAAAACTCCTTTAACAATTACAGAAACCCCAATCAATGCTTTTGATAGAGTAATAGTAGACACGATCGGTCCACTACCAAAATCAGAGCAAGGCAACGAATATGCAGTTACACTGATATGTGACTTAACAAAATATCTAGTTGCCATACCTATTCCAAACAAAAGTGCAAAAGTCGTAGCTAAAGCTATATTTGAAGATTTTATTCTGAAATACGGTCCAATGAAGACGTTCATTACGGACATGGGTACAGAATATAAAAATTCAGTTATAGAAGATTTATGTAAGTACCTTGGTATCAAAAACATAACTTCAACAGCACACCACCACCAGACAGTTGGGACAATAGAACGAAGTCATCGAACTTTTAATGAATACATTCGTTCATACATCTCTGCAGACAAATCTGATTGGGATGTCTGGATTCAATATTTCACTTATTGCTTCAACACGACACCATCAGCAACGCATGAGTATTGTCCATACGAACTAGTATTTGGCAGACTACCGAAACAGTTCATAGATTTAAACAATACTAATTACATAGATCCTATTTATAATTTAGATGACTATTCTAAGGAAATAAAGTTTAGATTAGAAATAGCATACAAAAGAGCTAGAATTATGTTAGAAAAAGCCAAGGCTAATAGGAAATTATCATATGATGAAAGAACAAAAAATGTTGAATTAAAAGTAGGAGATAAAGTACTTATAAGAAACGAAACAGGGCACAAATTAGACCCAGTATATTTAGGACCATATATAGTAGAGAAAATAGAAGATAAGGACAACATTTTTATTAAAGATAGTAAAGATAAAAAACAAAAAGTTCATAAGAATAGATTAAAAATTTTTAATTCTTAATAATCCAAAATTTTCTTTATGAATTCGAATTCCAAAAAAAATACACAAAAAAAAAAATAAAATAAAATAAAAATATATGACGGCCTGATCAACCGAATAAAAAAAAAAAAAATTTTTTACAAATAAACGAAATATTACAATAAAATGTATCTTGAAACAAAATTTTTATACCCTTAATACTTTTGTATTTTTATATTCCAACATTTTTAAATTTCATGTTATATCCAAAAAAAAAAAAATTTCAATTTATATTAAAAACAAAAAAAAAAAACCTTAATGATTAAGTTCATTTAATAACTACACATGTATAATGTTACGTTATTTCTCTAAAAGGGGAGGTGTAGTGCGTATATGCCCGTACAGAATACCCTGTATTCAAATATAAAGTATGCAGCACTTTGTTGCATACAATAACAATAATAACGTAAACAAGCCCAGAGCCACTTTATGTATTGGCTCGGTCTCATATTACGCAGCGCGGTTCACTAGCCTCACTAGCTGACCATTTATGCTAACGCTGCAGATCCCACGCTCCGTCTGAGCGCATTCCGTGAGCAATATATATGCTCACTAATACAGGCATATGCGAGCTACTCACTCTCCCTCTCTTTGTAGCATAAGTATATATGTATATCCATAGGCTAAGCGCACATTATCAAAACTGAATAAAATCATTATTAATATCCAAGCCAACCAGCACTGACGTGCTACTGGAATCATTTCAAAACTGTTATATATATACCTATATCACACTTTACTCAACTGGTAAAACTCTGTTGCAAGTCTAAACAAATATAAATATATATGTACATTCAAGCGCATAGCATAAATATGGTCGAAGACACATGCACATACATACATACAGTGCTGCGCAAATAAGTAACATGATGCCACTTGAGCAGGCCAAGACAGCGTGAGACCGTTGACCGACGGATAACCGCTGATCTTGCACTTTAGCCGCTCCAAGAGTGAGCGCCCTTTCGTATGAGTACACCCGCTCTCTCTCTCTCCCCTTGTAGCTGTTAACCGATAACAGCATAAGTATATACATGTCTCCATAGGCTAAGTGCATTATATTGACTTTGAATAAAATCATTCTTATGAACAATGCAAACCAGCACTGACGTGCTTTTATCTATCAGTTTGAAACATTTATAAGTGGAACAGTAGATCGTCCAAAACGTTGGATCGTAGCTCGGTGGGAATCACCTTGTCCATCAGACGAACTAGATGTTGTGCTACATTGCATAGCCCAAATGGCATGGGTCGAAACTGGTATAGGGGCCTACCTGGTACGGTAAATGCGATATAGGGCCTATTTCTCAGAACCTCAGATCTACACTGCAGATGTAGTAGCTCTGGTCTATCCTAGATAAGATGCCTTCTATACAGGGTTGTGGATCCGCATCTTTTACTGTCAAATTGTTGAGCTTGCGTGCATCGAGGCAAAGACGGTTTTTACCCAGTCTTCGCACTACTGTTGTACGGTTACTTCATGAGCTGTTGCACTCTTCTATAACCCCCAAACCCAACATTTTATTTACTTCATCATCCATTATTGTCTGCATCGCTGGCGATAACGGGTAGGGTCTATCTTTCAACGGTTGGGCACCTTAGGGCACCTACTAAGTCGATAGTGTCTTTCTCTAAGTACATCGTTGCTGATCCGCTACGTACAAAAGACAAAAACTTCCGCTTGACGGAGGCGGTAAAAACTCTATCCTTTCTTCCCTAGACAAGTCCCATGAAATCGGCTCACTTTCGAGTTCTTCCTCTTCTTCCGCATAGTGCGTCATTGACACGGCCAAAAGCTGTTCCACTTGGCGTTCCGTGGAGATAAGCTTCTCGGAACCCAAAATGTCTGGGGCTAGGTTAAGGGCAGATAAAAAACCTTATATTTGTATCCATTATTCCTCTTTCCCAGCGGATTTGACTATAGAAACGTAAGGTTGCACCGTAACTCCTAGCTCTTCGATCAACTCTCGACTTCCTTTTCCCAGCAGACTACCTCTCGCTCCTGTGCCTAAGAGACCTCTTATGTGATCAGTACCCATGAGCACCTCGGTAAATACACACAGTCGATTTTTTCGCTTCTTGTGACCACGTCTAACGTCTTCTTTATTATTTCTAAGTATTTTCTCCATCTATCTTTAGGAGCTAAATGCCTAATTTAATTTAAACCCGATGCGGACTGCATCCCCGATCGTCAGTCGCCCTGCCTCTTTACGCTCACCCAACCGTTTCGCAAGCGTTCAAGACATTTGGGCGAAATGGTGCTTAGAAAGTCTCATTTAAAACAAAACAGTTTTGCGTTCGGTACAATTTCTCGAGCGGGCACCCTATGTACCTACGCTCTCCACCTTATTTACGCTCAAGGCAGTGGATCCTGAGCTATGCGAAATTTTGGGCGCTCTAAGGTGCTTAGGGCCCTCAGCGATATACCTAGAGACTCCCCATGCAACAAACTTTGACCACCGTTTTCCTCTACTTGCTGGTCGAGTTTTCCTAAACACAGTTTTAGTCTTCATTCTCCCCCCAAGAGAGAAAGCTCCAGAAATTGCAGCTTCGTCGCCTTTACGTTTGGCGCTGCGGGTTCGCCGGCGTTCACTTATTCAGTCAGCCATAAAAAATTCATTAATACATATAGATTTATATACTTATAACATTTTTAGATTGTCAATAATTTTACTAACGCATTAGTTCACCTCGCACTAAGATCATTGGAATATGCTTTGCGCCCTACAGTGACAGAACTACAACAAGATTAATCATTTCAACAGAAAAACACTTGCAATGTTGAAAAGAGCCAGAAGTGACTATATTCATTACAAAAAAAACACCAAAATGTGTAGTGTTGTAAAACACTTGTGATATATTAAACATCTAACTGGTGCGACGTTTGCACATTTTTAAATAAGGGTTTTGTCGTTAGAAATTTTAATTTTGTTTGACACAGCTGAGACGTGAGGGACCTGCGAAAACTACTAAATACTTGTGTATTTACTTACTTGTCTGATAAGAGAAGCATATGTAAATGGTGGACGAACGTCGGCGTTTTTATAGAACTCTCTATTGCGTTGTATTTCTGTAAATAAGAAAATCGTGGGAATAAGTTAAATTTATAAAATACAAAAATATAGCCTTGTGTGTTTGTATTTACATTTGACCTTGCATAACAAAGTATTTATCTTTATTATCGGACAACACTATGGCCCAAGTTTGTTTTGGCTTAAGTGCAATACTAGTAATGGACAACTGTAACATAACCTAACTCTAAATTCGGTTAGGTTTTTTAACTAATCCGGTATTCATTTTTTACTGGCAGAGAACATATTGATATTGTGCAACGAACTGAATGCTGCAACTTGATTTATATCCTCTTCAAATCCTTTCTTACCCAGAACCTAATGGGTAAGAATAGTCAAAAAAAATGTTTGTAATATTTGTTGAAGCATTTAAGTTGTAATGTGATAAAATGAAATATGTAAAGAGAACACCAATGTTGACTTGCAGAGCTCTTAATTTACCCAAAGAGCACTCTTAGTCGTTAGTCTTGTAGTGTGATTATATTTAGCAACGACCATCTGACCAATTCTCTCGTGTGGTCGTTTTTGAGTTTTCTAGGTTCTGAGATCCTTGCGTTCATACATACGGACGGACAGACGGACGGACAGACGGACGGACAGACAGACGGACATGGCTAGATCGACTCGGCTTGTGATGCTGATCAAGAATATATATACTTTATGGGGTCGGAGATGCTTGTTGCTGCCTGTTTCATACATTTGCACAAAAACATGATGCCGTTTTTACACATTTTCAATGGGTTCAGGGTATAAGAATAAATTTTAAGATATACAAAAATTGTTCCCTCTGTAGGGCTCGAACTCGCAACAGCCACACCAATAATTTAGAATTAATGAGAAAAAAACGAATTAAAATAGCAGTACACAAAACAATACAATGTCAATTGCAATGCCGTTGATAGAATTCGATGAAGACGCGCATGAATGTGTGTGCCTTAAACTTGTGACTATCCAAAACACGTTTTCTTTAATAACTTCTGTGTTTCTTAACCCATCTTGATAAAATTATCAACAGTATATCTTATTCTGCTATAGAATATTTGTGTTAAAGTCAATTGTATTAAAATTGTGGCTTAAATTGAAGGGCAGTACAAGTTGGTGTATTATCTTGATTTATAGCTATGTGGTGATAGCTATAAATGAAAGATACTTGTTATATGTATACTATTCAAGGAACTATTTGTAACATTTTTTGTCTCTTATTATTTATGAAATTTGCTTTAAAAACACTATTTCGATATCGATTATCATCGATTGCTTGGAAACGGATTAAGTTATCGATTATCGGAAACAAACTCGTACTGTGCATGGACCTTGCGTTCATACATACGAACGGACAGGCGGACGGACGGACATGGCTATACGACTCGGCTGTTGATGCTGATAGGGTCGGAGATGCTTCCTTCTGCCTGTTATATACCTTTGCACAAAAACAATATACCCTGTTTACCCTTTTGTGATGGGCTCAGAGTACAAAAAGTTCAGGAGTGTTTGTGCATATCTAGGCGCAATGGCAGCGGTTTGATTTTCAAACGTGCCGTGTTCGTAACTGCAAGGGAACACTATATTTGTGAGTTTTACAGAGCCAGCTTAAGCCGTTAGATATTTTATTGTCGCGGATGTTGTGCAGCTGCTGTTGCTAAGCAGAATTTTGGAGCACAGGCTATTGCCATCAACTATTTATCTGGCAACTTCATATTGGTACAAATATTATTCTGTGAATTGATTTGATTTTGTGCAATGTGTCCACGCTTAATGATAGAAATACTAAATACGCTAAGTCCAGCTCGAACATAATCGCGACTTTTCAAAAGAATGATAAGGTTCTTGGCGATATTAAGCGATTAAAGACTGAATTTGAAGATAAGTCAATTTCTTGAAGGGCACATTGAAAAGATCATGGATATTGAAACTGGCGTCGATATATTGAACCCTAGCAACGATGCTACGGCAACAATGGAAGATGTGTATATTAATACAATGGCTTTATATCTGTCGGCCATTAATAAAGTGGAACGTCCCAGTCATATCATCAACTGTTTAAAACAGGGGAATACAAATACAAATACAAATACAAATACAAATACAAATACAAATACAAATACAAATACAAATACAAATACAAATACAAATACAAATACAAATACAAATACAAATACAAATACAAATACAAATACAAATACAAATACAAATACAAATACAAATACAAATACAAATACAAATACAAATACAAATACAAATACAAATACAAATACAAATACAAATACAAATACAAATACAAATACAAATACAAATACAAATACAAATACAAATACAAATACAAATACAAATACAAATACAAATACAAATACAAATACAAATACAAATACAAATACAAATACAAATACAAATACAAATACAAATACAAATACAAATACAAATACAAATACAAATACAAATACAAATACAAATACAAATACAAATACAAATACAAATACAAATACAAATACAAATACAAATACAAATACAAATACAAATACAAATACAAATACAAATACAAATACAAATACAAATACAAATACAAATACAAATACAAATACAAATACAAATACAAATGCAAATATCCTTGTTATAATCATCACAGAGAATCCTGAAAGGTTCAAGCAAGGCATACTTAGTTGAGAAAAATTGAAACGAAATTGAAATGAAACGGGTGTAAAATTACGTGTTTGTCTAGTAGGGATAGAGAAATTTAATTGGCTGGTCAACATAGAAGAGTCGATTTCACCAGTAATTACTTTATGGATAAATGTTACACCAAGCATGGTTCTACGATTACTTAAGGAAAGAAGATTAATTATCAGAAGTCTGCTAGAGTATGACATTTTAAACCACGAAGGGCAAACAGCAAGAGTTGTTTCTGAACGGATTTAATTCTGTCTTGATGGATAGAATATTGTAGTCACCAGATACATGAGGCATACTCAAGTATAGGTTGGACCAAAGATATGTAAGGCAGATCGTCAAAATACATTAATACTCGAGAGTGAGACAGTATCGAAGGAAGATCATTAATGAAAAGAGTAAAGAGTAGCGGGCCAAGCTGACTGCCTTGAGGAATACCGAAAGTCACAAGAATACTTTTAGAAATCAAATTTCTGAAAATAACCTTTTGGGTTCTGTTACGCAAAAACTCTGAAATCCAGTTCAAGAGATTGTCTGGGAACCCGAGGAGGCATAATTTATGAAGCAGCAAAGAGCGGTTGACAGAGTCGAAAGCCTTACTGAAATCAGTATAGATGCCGTCAGTCTGCATTCTTTTCTTAAACATCATCTTAAACATCATTACTATCAATTACAATCGAAGTAAACTGAGAAGTTTAGTGGTTGTAGATCTGCGCTTCACGAACCCATGCTGGGAAGGTGAAATAATCGAACTCCATAAATGTGGTAGTAGAGATGTTATAATTCCTTCAAAGCCTTTCGGTATAGCGGATAATTTGGAAATACCTCTTTAGTGTTCGACATCGGATTTACCTTACAAATGGTCGGAAAAGATGAAGTATTTATGGACTATTCAAAAAGTCTTATAACAGGTCTACATAGTTCTGCAGCACAGTACCTGAGCAGACAAGCCGGAACACCATCATGGCCCGGTGAGTAAACCGGCTTGATTGTCTTAAGGTCGCAGGGAAGCAAACTTTCCGTAATATTGGGATGAAAGATGCAGTTTGATCTCTATAACTGATAAGGATAAGGCTGATTTTCATTATACCTAGAGGAGGAGTAGGTAGTTTGAAAGAAGTTTGCGAACAGATCGGCTATGCCTGGATCTCATCTGTAAACTTAACCGAAGAGGGCAAAATGGATGTTTAAAATTGATAAAGTTAAAAAATTGATTAAGATTATGTGAAACTTGGAGACAACAACGGCGAAGGTAATCGAAGGTAATAGCAGATCGAATTTTGAGTAGAAAAATTTGATCGGGCAACTGCAACTGCATAACGGAAGTAATCAGAGTGATTTCCCGATTTCTTTTACTTGTTATAACACCTCGACTTCACATTTTTTAATCTCATAAGTTCACTTGAGAACCAGGGAGGCCTATCAGGCTTCGCTGGGTGATCAAGAGGAACGCAGACATCAAACAACCAGTACAAGGTATCATAAAATAGTTTAATGGCAACATCAATGTCTGCACAATTGTACAGTTGGGACCAGTTTCCTTGCAGAATAAGATCGTTTAGCTTATGAAAATCAGCCTTTCGGAAACAACGGACTTTTTCAACTAATTACGATTCCTTGATAGTGTGTATTTTTTCTACTCTTCCGTTGGCTTATGGGCGGTATGACGTTGTTCGCAGATACAGATGGATCCCGTTTACAGTGTAAGCTCCTCGAACAATTTAGATTCAAACTGTCTGCTTTAATCGGTAGTTATTAAGTGTGGCATAGTGTGCGATCCAACCATACAATAGAGCATTAGCTACCGTCTCTGCGGCTATGTCTGCTTTTGGGACTGCGTACGAATCGGTCAATGTACGTCAGACAGTACATGTCGTTTTTTGACAGTGGAAAAAGGCCAATGAGATCAATGTTGATTTTACTTTTTAAGCGCTGTTTTGTTGTGCCTGTTGACTTTAAACTGCTGGCAGCTGATACAGCTGTTGGCCATGTGAGCAATGTTTCTTTCCATGTCTTTCCAGACGAAAAGTTCGGTTATAAGTTTCCCTGTAGAGCGCTTACCTGGGTGCGATAAATTATGAATCGAATTGAAGTAGCTGCGTGTGATATATGGACGAATTCGATTTGATGAAATGTCACAATACAACAACGCCTTTGTGGGAAGAATTCTCAATTAGCTGTTTCAATTCAGCTTCTGGTTGTTGATTTAAAGCTAGCTTCTTAAAATCTTGTTGATCGTCGTTAAGAATCGCTTCTACTCTGTACAGTGTGTCTGCGACGACCTTGTTTTTGCCAGCGATGTCCTGAATATCCTTTGTATATTTGCTGATAAACC